CTGGGCTTGTAGATTCATCTGCTTCTACTCTTTTACATATGGCAATTTGTGAAAACAAATTCAAGAAACTCTCAGTCAGATCCTTTTTATAGAACTCTTGTTGACATGGCTGCAAATCAGAAAACAGAACAAAACAGATTCTGATTCCACCCCCTGACAAATATTCAAGGTAGGAAAATTGTGGTAAAGGCATTTTCCATCCTGTGAGGGCTGAGGTTGGCCCAAGATTCTCAGGGGTTTGGCAGTTAGGATGCAGCCGTTCCCCATGATGAGATCTCATATAATATAATTACTTTCATGATAAGGTCTGCTATGAGCAGCTAATCAATTGAAAAGGGGTTTCCTCAGGAGTCTGGCCTGCTTCCCATATGTGAGGACACTCTGGAAAAATGCTTTTGCTTTTTGATGGATCTGGCTTGTCATGTGACCTCTGGTTCTGCGGCCTTGGAGCAGCGCTCTTCAGTATTGCTTGCTAATCCTGGGAATCATTAGCCTCTGCAGTCTGTGATTTGGCAATCTGACATTTTATCTGCCAATCTTGGATTCATTTGCCTCCTCAGCCAGCAGCCTGCCATGTGACCTGCCAATCTTGGGTTATCCAGCCCCTATAGTTACATGAGTCAGTAGAAGTCTACAGGCTGACAAGTGACCAACAGACTTGGAATTGCCAGCCTTTACAACCCTGTGAGCCATTTCCTTCAGATAAATCTCTGCACACATACACACACACACAAGAGTGAGTAAAAAATTACCTGCACTTTGGCTATAGAATTAATTACCATTTAGAAAAGACAAATACATCATTTTCCTACATAATCTTCTTGCTTTTCAATATACTTTGTTCACCTGTCAACAAGCTCTTGTATTTGCTTATTAAAAAATGTTTTAGTCTGAGCTGTGAGCCACAAATGCACTGCTGTCTTCACTTTTTCATGAGAGGTGAATCTTTGTCCTCAAAAGGCTGCTTTCAGGGGACCAAACAGATAAAAATCTGATGGAGCAAGATCAGGATGACAGGGAGGGTGCTTTAACATCTCAAAATGAAGTTTATGCAGTGTCAAAATCGTTAGTAGAGGTGTGGGACATGCATTGTCATTCAAGATCATGATGTCCTTGGATAGCTGTCCTCTGTGTTTAATTTGAAGTTTAGGCTTCAGCTCTTCAGTGAGCACTGTAATGAATGAACACTGTTGATAATGGAATCCTGTTCCTGATTATGTTCCAATACTGGTCCTTGAGAATCCCAGAAAACTGTACATGTCAATTTTCCAGCTGATGGTTGACTTTTTAACTTTTTCTTGGTCGGCGATTGAGGATGTTTCCATTTCATACTCTGCTGTTTACTCTCAGGCTTGTAGCAATGAATCCACACCTCATCACCAGTATCAATTTTTTAAAAAGAAACTTTTACCTTCCTTCGAGTATTGGTCCAAATTTTGTTTGTAAATGTCAATGTTCACACCTGCACAACAGTGACCTTGAGCAGAAAGTACTGATAAGACAGTACAGCCAACAGAAGTTTTAACATAGCTGGAGTGCGGATAATTTTTGACTCACCCTCGTATGTGCATGTTAAGTGTCATTGTCAGATCTGACTCATAGTGACCTGTATAGTCCTGTTACACCAGGATATATATATATAAAAGTTTCACTGGTTTTGTTTCTTTCGAGAATCCAGCCTCAGACACATCCCAAATAGCAACTGATGAATTCTTCCTTGAAAGCTTATTGCTATGCCATTTCCTGTAAGTCAGATGGTCTCTGATATTATTTTAAATGGAACTTTCCAAACATGTGAGGTGATCCTGGTAAATGATGCATATATGATAACATCATTAAAATAGAAAACAAAATGTCCCAGAAAAGGCAAAATTAATAATCTGAAACTATGAGGCTAATGTAATTTCTATAATAGACGTTTGAACTCTGAATTTTCTGGATGCAAAAGGAAAACTCCTAGATAAAATTCACATTATTCAATAAAAACCAATTAATTGAAAGAAAGTTGTTTTTTCTTGGCCTGGTTAAAAATCTTAGAAGTCATTCATAGTTTCATCATAGTAACACTACAATTTTTGCTTGTACAAAAATAATTCTATTTTTAAAAAGTATTTGAATAGGTAAAACAGTCACAGTTTAAAACAAAATATGAAAAGTGAATAATTTCCTTCCAGCCTTGTCACACATCTGCCCAGTTTCATCCCTTCCATCCTTAGTTTTATAGTTGTCTAGAGTTTTTTTTCATGCATCTTTATCATCAACAACAAAATAAAGATTTTATCCCTTGCTCCCTTGTTTACATTTGAATTTATTCAATATAACTTGCAAACTTTTCCATTTCAGTAGAAGGACTATTTCTCCATTTTCTTTTATGGACCCCCATGTGTAGATGTGCCATCATTTATTAATCAGTGACCTATTGATAGATAACATTTGAACTGTTTCCATTTTTTGCTATTACAAAAGGAACTAGGGTGAGTAATGTTGCACCTATGTAATTTCACACATGTGTAAGTATGTAAGGGGTAATTTCCCTTAAGTGGATTCTGGGTCACAAGTTCAATGCATTTGTGAATTTGAAGCTATTATTATAGGGTTGGTTCACTTGCCACATAATTCTTACATGCTTACAACCAGTGTCCTCCAGCAAAATTCCAGGCAAAAAAGAAAAGGAAAGTGAGAAAGAAGGAACCATTTATTGGGTACCTACTATATGTTGTTAAGGAGCTCTGGTAGCATTGTTGTTGTTGTTAGGTGCCATCGAGTCAGTACTGACCCATAGCAACCTTATGCACAGCAGAACGAGACACTGCCCAATCCTGAGCCAACCTCACTACTGTTGCCATGCTTGAGTCCATAAATGCTGCCACTTGGCCAATCCATCTCGTTGGGGGTCTTCCTCTTTTTCTCTGACCCTCCACCTTACCAAATATGATATCCCTCTCCAGTGACTGGTCCCTCCTGACAATATGTTTGAAGTATGAGAGACGAAGTTTGACTATCCTGGCCTCCAAGGAGCACTCTGGCTGCAATTCTTCCAAAACGGATCAATTGGTTCTTTTGGCAGTCCATGGCACTTTCAATATTCTCCTCCAACACCATAACTCAGAGGCATCAATTCTTCTCTGGTCTTCCTTATTCACTGTCCAGCTTTCGCATGCATATGAGGTTATTGAAAGTACCATGGCTTGGGTCAGATGCACCTTAGTCCTAAAGCTGACGACATCCTTGCTCTTCAACACTTTAAAAAAGGTCTTGTGCAGCAGATTTGCCTAATGCACTACGTCGTTTGATTTCTTGACTGCTGCTTCCTTGAGTGTTGATAGTTGATCCAAGAAGAATGAAGTCCTTAACAACTTCAATCTTTTCCCCATTGGTAAAAATGTTGTTTATTGGTCCAGTGGTGAGGATTTTTGTTTTCTTTACATTGAGATGTAATCCATACCGAAGGCTGTGCTCTTTGATCTTCATCAGTAAATATTTTAAGTCCTCTTCACTTTCAGCAAGCAAGGTTGTATCATCTGCATATCGCAGGTTGTTAATGAATTTTCCACCAATCCTGATGCGCTTTTCTTCATAGAACCCAGCTTCTTGGATTATTTTCTCAGCATACAAGTTGAATAAGTATGGTGGAAGAATACAACCTTGTTGCACACCCTTTTAAATTTTAAACCATTCAGTGTTCCCATGTTTTGTTCGAACAACTGCTTCTTGGTCCAGGTACAGATTCCTCATGAGCACAATTAAAAGTATTCTGGAATACACATACTTCGCAATGTCGTCCATTGCTTGTCATGATCCACACAATTCAAAACCTTTGCATAGTCAATAAAGCACAGGTAGCATAGTGGTTACGAATCAGGCTGTGAACCACAATGTCAGCAGTTTGAAACTATCAGCTGTTCTGCAGGAGAAAGTTGAGGCTTTCTGCTCCTGTACAGCCTTGGAAACTTGTACAGGGTTGCTATGAATCGGAACCAACTCCACGGTACATAACCAACCAACCCACCAACCAACCCACCAACCAACCAATCAACTATATGTTGTTGGACTACTGGTGTGGAGCTAGAGGATCAGCATTTGACTGTGAACCACAGGCTGGCAATTCAAACCCACCAGATGCTCCTCAGAAACCCTTTACAGGATCGCTATGAGTCACAGCAACATGGAATTGATTCTGACTCATAGAGACCCTGTAAAGAGTTTCTGAGGAGTGGCTGGTAGGTTTGAACCGCTGGCTTTGAAGTCCCTGAATTGTGGTATAGTTTACATGATCAGTTGATAACTTTAGAGGTTGGAGATTTGGGTCCCCCCACAGGTCCCCTGGCAGAAAGACCTGGTGATCTATTTCTGGAAAATCAGCCCTTGCAAACCATTAGAACAGAGTTCGAGTCTGACACACATGGGATTAAGTCAAAGGCAACTGAATTTTATTGGTTCTATGAGTCCTGGTTTGGTGTTGCAGAATAATGCGCTGAAATGCAAGGTTGGTTTGAACTGCAAGGCTGGTGGTTCAAACTCACCAGCTGCTCCTTGGAAACTCTATACAGGGTTGCTATGAGTCAGAATCGACTCAATGGCACTTCATAACAAACAACAACATATGTCAGACTGTGTTTATATGTGGACATTTGCCATAAGAGGCAATGCTTAGTTCTCTGATTTTCACAAACGCAGATACTGATTCTCAGTGAGATGAAGGGAATTTGCCCCAGGTCTCAGTGCTAGTACATGGCTGAGAAGGGTCTTGAAGCCGTATTCTTCTCACTGTGCTGCAGGAGGTCTTATAGGAGTGACTGCATCTCTGCAGGTCCGCATGCTCCTGGGGCAGTTTGCATCAGCATTCACAAATCAGCAGTGGTACAAACAACAGACTTAGTTTTTCCAAAGACTTTATTTTCTTGTTTGCCTCAGTCCTGTCATTGTTGTACACCTAATTAAGGATCTCCTGGCAACGCCTTTCCCATGTTGCCCCAACTCCAGGTTCCAGCCTCAGCCCCTCACAAGTGCTTTTTGAGGGTGGAGCAAGGCTTCTCCAGGTATGCTTCTCCCAGGAGGGTATCTAGCCCCTCCTCCAGGTCCCGGACCAGCTGCTCTAGCTCACGCAGCTCTTCCTCTAGCTTCTGCAAGAGAACATGTAAGCTCTCCTTCAACCAGTGTCTGATGAACTTTATTGGCACTTCTGAGTGGTCATTGGTCTGGTATTCAAGCTCCTGAAAGGCAGACATCAAAGTTATATTTTGAGTTTTTTCATGTGGCTTTGAGAAATTCCCTGAGCCTTTGCACATGACCCCATTCCCACCTTCTCCACCTGACTAACTCTTACTTATCCTTCAAGACCTAGCTCGGCAATGACACCTCCTCTGGGAAGCCTTCGATTTCCTCCCCCAACTTTGTTGTCTCCTCTAGTACATGCCTAACTAAATATGTTACCTGGGTAGCCACAGTATTCTGGGGGTAGTTACATTCTCTGATCTTTTCTGCCACCTCCCAACTTCTTCCTGAAAGAGGCAAAAGCACCACCTCTTAATAAGAGCTAATGAGCGATAGTTGAAATAAACACAGTGGGTCTGTGGAGTGGAATTTAGCGGGGAAGAAGAAGGAAAGTTTGGAGGCCTCCTTGGCTTGCAACCATATCCAGAATACCTCTCCCCACTCCACATGGACTCAGCCCCTTCCTTCTCAGAGACTCCCGACTATTCACCTGATATCCACGTGCTCAAGTACAGCACCAGGACCAGCAATGCCAACAGCGACTGGGGGCAAGAAGGGAGAGGAGACAGGGTAAGGTCCTGGAGGGCAGAGACACTCCCTGCTCCCCTCACATAGAGACATGCATGTGATATTATAAAGGTAGTGTTTAGAGTGTAACTTTTTTCCCTATTTATTGAAATCATACATGCTTATTATAAAACTGCTACTTGTTGACATGCACTTTATGGTTTCCCTTGTGCGAAAGAAGGCCCTCTTGTTCACTTCTCACATCAATTTTACATCTTTTGGTTTTAAACAATCACCTTCACTGTACTATAATTTGCATACAAGCATTACACCATTTCTATATAATTTGATGAGTTTTCACAGATGTTTACACCTGTGGACTTTCACTTTAACCAAGATAATGAACATATTCTATAATTTCCATCTTTCAGTCAATTCCCTTCTTGTCCCACTCCTCAGTAGAGGGAAGCACAATACTTCTTTCTGTCATTTTGGGGGAGTTTTGCCTCGTCTACAACTTTTTATGAACAGAATCCATAGTAGATACTCTTTTATGTTTACCTTCTTTTTTCTCCCTATAATGTTTTTGAGATGCATTGATGCTTCTGTATGCTCATTTTTAGTGCTGAATTGTCATCTATTGCATGAATAATTTATTGTTGATGGCCTTTTTGGTGGTTTTCAGGGTTTTGCTATTATAAATGAAACTGCTTTGAACACTTGTATAAAAATCTTTATGTGATAAAGGTGATGGTTGAAACATGATGAACACATATCATGAAACTGTATGTTAAGATTTTTGAAATGACAAAGGTTTTGTTATCTACATATTTACTGCAAAAATTAATAAACAATCTTTGTGTGGATATATAGTCTCATTTCTCTAGGGTTAATATCCAGAAATGCAAATGCAAGTTAAATGTTATAAGAAGCAACCTCTGTTTTCCAAGGTGTTTGTACCATTTTATATTTCTGCTAACATGAGAGTTATAGTTGTTACACATTCTTGTCAAAATTTGGTATTGTTGGCCTTTTAAACTGGGATGTAGTTGTTCTCTTTTGCTTCTTAATGTCAAAATTGAGATCATTGCATTTAAATCTTACTTCTTTCCTAGCATAGCATTGTTGCTGTTGTTAAGTGCCATCGCGTCAATTCCCACCCATAGTGACCCTGGATAGGGTTTCTGAGGAGTGACTGGTAAGCTTCAACTGCTGATCATAGGTTCAAACCAACTTTGTGTTCCAGTGCATTACCCATAGTGCCACACCAGGACTCCAACATAATATTATATACATATATATTTAAGTTGTTGTTAAGTGCCATTGAGTCAATGCCTACTCATAGCGACCCTATATAGGGTTTCCAAGGAGTGGCTGGTGAGTTTGAAATGCCAACCTTGCTGTTCAAACCGACCTTGAAGTGAAGCGCATTATCCTGCACTGTATCCTGATGTGACACTGTAGGATAAGCTCAGGACCGCAAGGTCAGTTTGAACCACGAGGCAGTGGTTCAAACTCACCAGCTGCTCTTTGGAAACCCTATACAAGGTTGCTATGATTATCTATCTATCTATCTATCTATCTATCTATCTATCTATCTATCTATCTATCTATCTATCAATCATCTATCTCTATATATAATCTTGTTAGCATAGTGGCTAACCTCAAGGCCAGCAGTTTCGAAACTACCAGCTGTTCCACAGGAGAAAGATGGGGTTTTCTGGTCCTGTAAAAATTTACAGCGTTGGAAACCCTATACACGGTCACCATAAGTCAGAACCGTCTTCTCAACACATAACCATCACCACCATATATGTTATTAAGTGCCATTGATTCGGTTCTGACCCACAGTGACCCTGTAGAGGGTTTCTGAGGAGTGGCTGGTGAGCTGGAACAGCCGACCTTGCGGTTTAAACCGATTTTGCAATCCAGTGCATTAATCCACAGCGTCACACCAGGACTCCACATTTGTAGTAGCTGTTAAGGAATATTTAAAACACTGAGCCATATTAGGTTCAATTACTATGCACTGTTTTTTGTTTTTAAACTACAAGTTTCTTTGCAACTGAAAATACCATGGCTTGTGTCTGGCACACATTAGTCCTCAAATCGATCTCTTTGCCCGTGAGCACTTTAAAGAGATTGCAGCAAATTTGCGTAATGCAATGCATCATTTCATTTCTTGACTGCTGCTTCCATGAATATTGATTGTGGATCCAAGCAAAATGAATTCTAACAACCTCCATCTTTTCTCCATTTATCATGATATTTATTCGTCCAATTGTGAGAATTTGTTTTCTTTACATTGAGGTGCAATCCATACTGAAGGCTGTTGTCTTTGATCTTCATCAGTAAATATTTTAAGTCCTCTTTGCTTCCAGAAATCAAGGTTGTATCATCTGCGTATTGCAGGTTGTTAACAACACCTAGCACTGATGATCATTCCAAGGTCTGGTTGCTCTTCCAGTGTTTTTTTTTTTTTAAACCACTTCTCTATCATGTGTTATTTAGATTTTCTTCACCAGTAAGCTTGTTATTAAATTTCATTGAGTTGGTTTCAACTCATAGAGACCCTGTAGAACATTTCCAAGGAAGAGCTTGTGGGTTTAAACTGCTGTTCTTGTAGTTCACAGTCCAGTGCTTATCTTATAGTGCCACACCAGAAGTTAGGTTTCCATTTTTTGCAATGTGGTGTTAAAAGGAAGAATGTGGATTAGATATTTGTCCTTTTACTGGTGCTGCCTTGGGACCCATGGCAAATAATTTCTTATCTCTGACCCTCAGATTCTTCATCTATATAAAATAGAATTTGAAATATCTTGAAAAGTCTTTGGAAAAGAAAAAAAATGGAGGCTCTGCGGTTCAGTTAATTGGGAAATGCTGTGATAACTAACCAAAAGCTAAGTAGGTTTCTTTGCTACAGGACTTCTCAAAGCCTTTGCTATGTGAATGAGTAATATCAGTTTCCTAGAAGGGACGAGTGTATGTGGTATTTCTCAAGCTGATGTATCATGGAATTTGTTTTACGATATTCCTCTAAAATTTCTGTAGTTGCGTATTAGTGGAATTCTTCTTTTTAAAAATGTTTTAAATTGTGAATTGAGTTAAGGCTTACAGAGCAGATTATCAGTTTTATATTCTATAAATCATATACTTTGCTTCATTACATAGTTGCAATCCCCTCCATATACCAACCAACATTAAGTAGACAGCATTTTCCTTTATCTACTTTAACGATTGCATTTCTCCCTGTGCCTCCTACTACCTTCATCTTTCCTCTGCTAACCTCCCTTTTTGATATTGCCTGCACTATCACCATGTTAACATGTGTCTACCCTCTAGCCCATGAATAATTTTCCCTTCTCCCTGTAACCATCATAAATTAGTTCTTTTATCAAGAAGACCTTTTTTTTTTAAATCTTGTTACAATATTGGTCTCATACAATGCTAGTAATTTTGTGATTGACTGATTTCACTCAGCATAATGTTCAACCATGCTGTGAGGTGTTTCACAGATTCATCATTTTCTTCAACATCTTGTAGTATTCCATTGTGTGTAAGTACCAAACTTTGTTTAACCTTTTTTTTTCGATGGGCATTTAGAGTGTCTCCATCTTTTGATATGTCTCTTGTAGACAGTGTATTGAAGGATCTTGTTATCTTATCCTTCCTGTTCTTTATGTCTCTTGACTGGACCATTTAATCCATTTACATCCAGTGTAATTATCAACAGGTATGAATTGACTGTTGTCATTTTTCTGGATTTTTTTTGTGGTGCTGCTGAATTCTATGTTCCACGTAATTTTATACACTAAGTTCATTTTGTTTGTGGCTTTTCTTTTAATTTTCATTCTGTTGTGTTAATGTTCATTAAATCTTTCTGATTTTCCAATTTTTTTTGATGTGCAGGTATATTATTTTTATTTGAGGTTACTCTGTAATTTATTATTTTTTTCTCTGCTTAAAGCTTGAAAGCTACTTGACTCCCTTGCCATTTGTAAGTTCTGTATCTACACTATTTCTTCTTTTTGCTTGGTTGTTGACTTCATTATACATTGATACCTCTGGTTCCCCATTTTCAGTCTTGTAGGTTTGTTTTACTTTAAATACTATTCTCTGGATTGATTTCTGGATGGTGTTGTCATGTATGACAATCTCAGGGTGTTGTGAGCTGTTGTTGGTTCTTAGTCCAAAGAAGACCCTTTTGTATTTTTTGTAAAGTTGGTCTGGTCATTATCAATTCCTTTAATTTCTGTTTATCAGGAAATGTCCTAACTTCACTGATGTATTTGAGGGACAGCTATGCTGGGCATATGATTCTTGGTTGGCAATTTTTTTCTTTGAGAGTTTTGTATATGTCATCACATTGACTTCTTGCCTGCATGGTTTCTGCTGAGAAATCAGAGCTTAGTCTTATTGGTTCTTCTTTGTAGGTAACATTTTGTTTTGCCCGAGCTGCTCTCAAGATTCTTTCCTTGCCTTTGGTTTTGTATAGTTGGTTATGACATGTCTTGGTGATTTTCTTTTTGGATCTATTCTGTTTATGATTCATTCAGCCTTTTGTATGCTTATCTTCTTGTCTTTCGTGTTAGGAACGTTGTCTTTTGTGGAACTCTTAGGAAATGTTGCAGTGTGATGTGAGCCCATCAATACTCCCAGTGTCTTGTGAGGCCTGGTACATTGGAAACACCTGGAAAATGTCCATTACATGAATGAGTGAACACATTTATTGTAAACATATACAGATAGGCCATTTATTACCCAACTTAAAAACCTTCAACATTATAAGATTTCCTATTACCTTTAGAAGAAAACCCCTGCCCTTCCCACAGTGCACAAGGCTCAATGACCTTCTCAGACTCTTCTTCCCTCCCTCTCTCTCTCACCATCTAGGAGGCAGAGGGGTGCCATGGATAAACCTTGCCAAGGGTTCTGGAATCAAATGGCCCTACTTTCTAATCCTGCCTCTGACTTCTCCCAGCTTTATGGCCTTCAACAAGCCAGTTTTGCTTTCCTGAGCCTCAGTTTACCAATCTGTGAAGGAGAGAGATGACAGCTGCCTCTCAGGAACATTGTCAGTCATGAAAGAGGGAGTGGGTGGGAAGTACTAGTGTGTGGATAGTAAGTGTTCAGTTTTCCTCTTTAGCAGGAACACCCCAGTTTGAATATATTCTCCTGTTTATTTCCATTCATTCAAGCACTGAGCACCTGTTACATACCAAGTACTGTCCTATGCTTTAGGGTTAGAGCAGGAAACAAAACTAAAAAAGCCTGTCCTCCGAAGGCCCATTCCTGACTTAGAGAGTGTCACCATCTGTCTGCGAAGCTAAGGAAGTCCAGACAGGGAGGTAAGCAGGAACCTCTGTGCTGGTCTCACCTGCTTCTTGTCCTCAGAGTGACTGTCTCTTCTCCTTTCTAACAGCTCAGCTGCCAGCTGTGCCCTGCTGTCCACCTGTTGAATCATCATGGTCTTAGTCAGACTGCCTGGAGGGGGTGATGGGGCACCCCCACCTGATAAGTAGAGGGCAGCCTTCCCCTCCCCCACCTCTGCTCATCTGGCATGAGTTCTGATGTCACAGAGGTGGGGGACAGCAAGGTTCCCATCATCTCACCACCCTGATTTTTAGCCCTTTCCTCATATTTTCCCCATATAAATGTAGAAAGCAAAGACAAGCAAGAAATGCATCAAAATAGCATATTTCAGGTTAATGGCTTTTCTTATCTCTTTTTTGATCCATTTTCAAGTTCTTAGTGAAATTTAAATTTTGGGGGCGTTTCTTTCTTTTTTTTTTTAGGTTTTATTGTGAACTGAGTGATAGTGTACATGGGAGATCATCGACTTTACCATTGTCCCATTGCAATGATTACAATCTCCTCCGGGCATCATCATTCAACAGTGTTTGCTTCCCCATTTCCTTTATGTGTGTTTTTTTGGAGCGGGGTGTACACAAAAACACTCAGGAATATATAATAATTTAAACAACCAAAGGGCACATTCTGCAAGTCTGGCTCCTGGCTGCCAGCATCAAGTCCTTCTCTTT